GCCAAAGCCTCTGAAGAGGAGTCATATTCCTTTTGGAAAAATATATTCCTTGTCTTGCTTGTGATACCCACAGCCCTGTTAAGTATTGCCTCACCTTTTCTTTAGGTATGGTTTAGCTTCTGTTCATGGCATATCCATATACTTTCTCCGTTTTGAGATGTCCCTTGCTTTCACAACCCTCACTGTTGTATAGTCACCCTTCTCCACTTACTAAACCCAGTTCATGATTCAGAAAGCCATTTTTTCCAGGGTGGGAAATCTGTATATTTTTTGGCCAGAATAATGCCAGTTTTCTTTATCTTTCCATAAACTTAGGCCTTCAAAACCAACAGGATCTATATAGTCCTTCCTATATGCATAGTTTCATGTTGTGCATACTCATTTTTTCTTAACAGAGTTCAAGTGCCATATGGAGACAATCTAACTTCCTCTGTATTCATACCCTTGTATTCCTGCTGTATTCATACCCTTGCTGTATTCATACCTGTATGAATGTATTCATACCCTTGCTGTGCAGTCCAGCACATACACTCCTGTTACTCTTCATTTCCAGTCCAAAGACAGTTTTGGGGTCTTACCATAAGACCCACGCATTGCTGGGCCAAAAAATTCATCATAGAATCACAGACCGGTTTGTGTTGGAAGGGACCTTAAAAGCTCATCCAGTTCCAATCCCCTGCCACCCGCAGGGACACCTGCCACTAGAGAAGGGTGCTCTAAGCCCCGTCCAGCCTGGCCTTGAACACTGCCAGGGATGGGCAGCCACAGCTTCTCTGGGCACCCTGTGCCAGGGACTCACCACTCTCACAGGGAAGAATTTCTTCCTAATGTCTAATCTAAATCTCCCCTCTGTCAGTTCAAAGCCATTCCCCTTGTCCTATTACTACATGCCCTTGTAAAAAGTCCCTCTCCAGCTTCCCTGTAGGCCTCGTTAGGTACTGGAAGTTTTTCTAAGGTCTCCACAGAGCATTCTTTCCCCAGGCTGAACAACCCCAACTCATCTTTGCTGTCTTTCCCATCGAAATGCTTCAGGCCCATGAGTTTGACCTTGTGAATTAAAGGAGGCATTCAGTCCCCTGACCTAGGCAATACCATTTTGGCTGCTCAGGTATGCCAGGTATGCTGCCTTTGCATTATTTTCAGTGCAGTCATGCAGTGTCACAAGCCACTGAACGAAGCTACGTCTACCCACAAACTCCAGTTTCCCTATTCCATAGGTGCTAGCCGCCTCTCATTTCTCCTTCAGCTGCTCTTTTCGTCTCTTTTACACGTACACACCCTTTTAAAAGATGGCAAGGAGCGAGTTCCAAGCGCAGCAAACACGTCAGCTTCATTTATATAGGGCAGAGAATCTCCTCGTCCTGTACCTCCTCTCCATGTCCATTGTTGCGCATGTGGAGCCTGAGAGAGAGACCTACTCTTTACCTCCTATTGAAGGAGATAAATGATCCTGCTGGCACACAAACGGTGCAGCTCAGGACAGACCAGCTTGGCGAGATCACTGGTTTGCCCTGCCAACAGCTAATTCATCCAGAAAAAGGTGCGTGTCACCCTGTAGACAGCTGCAGAGCAACCTCCATGCTTTTTATTTCCCCTGCCCCCACCAGTTAGTGGTTGGCACTGTTAATCCTATTTAATGTAACTATGGATAGACACGCAAACCTTTAATCCGTTTCAAACCTACTAACCCTTCAGCCTGCCTTGGCTGGAGTTCAACAGCCTGTCTTCTTTTACACTCCTCATTTTTAGCTGGATTGATGGGTCTTCAAATGAGAAACTTCCTTGTGCTGTAACTTTCCTTTTGTGAGTTATTCAGGGCACTGCTTCTGTGCACCCTTTCTACAACAACCAGTCTCTTACCCAAGGGGTTCCAGAGCCTGTCAGTGCTGTAGGTGCTGACGCTGTGTTGATCATCAGCAAGACTGGAAGGGGAGCCAGTAATGAAAAAGAAACCAGAGGCTGAGATTCCCAAAGGCTCCATCTCCCTGCTTCCCCTTTTCCCCCCAATTTCCCCCCAGCTTTTTCAGTGTTTTTTTTTAAAGCCTGAATGTTTGCCTGAGCTTGCTTTCTAGTCTCTTTTTATTCATTGTCAACCACGTTTGTTACTGCTGTGTCATTTCAGAGGCAAGAAGTTGGTTAGTGCCCAGAGCAAACATGTTTTCTTGGTTTACATTTGCGGTCCTCCCCTCTCCTTGTATATGCAACATTGATGTTAGCTGTTGTTGTTTCCTATGCTAAAGAAATAAAGACTTGCTGATAGAGCAGAGGCTGTATCAGCTTACATTAGCTTGTACCCATCCGAACAAATTTTCCTGTTTGCTTTCCGCTCACGTAACGAAGGAGAAAGAAGTCATTAATGGGCTTGATGAATCTTATTCACAGTAAGCTAGCTTAACGCCGAGCATCTGGGAACCATTTTGCCTCCTCTAAACTGTCTTCCTGGGAAGGTTCTACCACATTAATAACACTTCAGAGCTTTTATTTGCATTTATATTAAATCTGCTGCTGCTGCTGCCTCCCATTACGATTCCCTGCTGCGTGTGGGTGAAGATGCACTGTAAGATGGCACACTCCTCCTTCTTCCCCAGCTCAGCCACCTCTATTTTCTGCTGCAGGATGCTCAGCTGGTGTCGCAGAGCTGGGAAGAGAGCCAGCAGCCTGATGAGCTCAATCAGCACGCAGCCCTCACACCGCAGCAGTGGGATGTCTCCCTGCGCTACCGCTCACAACCGCACGGGAGGGTAATGCCAGGTCCAAGGGTTGAGGGCTGCTAGGAAAAGCAGCTATGGCAGCGGCTCCTTCTGTAACTTCCTCTTCTCTTTTACAAGGGCCGGAAAAGTCTCTGCAAGGAACAGAGAGATGGCACAGGCTGCTCCAAGAGAGCCACCTCCTCAGGTCCCAGCACAGCCGAGGAGCTGGCATGATCGAGGCATGACTAGACCATAACACAGACAGCTGGGAGTATAAGAAGATGCTTAGCTTCAGCTTATCGCAAGGCACATGCCACTCACTGGTCCTTATTCTCCCGCTAGCTTAGAAGACATTCTCCTCAGGGGCCAACTCCTGCCACAGTGTGCAGGCGGCACTGCTGTTCTTTCATAGGATCTCCTACTCTCCTGGAGAGAGAAAAAATCAAGGCAGAACATGCTAGATCTTTGCCCTTGTGGAAGATGGTTTATCTAGAGCCACCCGCTCACTTCTGCTTGCATTTCCTGCCTCCTGCAAAATAAAATCTAATTTATTTAAGGATACTGTTGGCTGTACAACCAAGGTTTGATTTCAGATGGCAAAATCAAGTCTGTCAGGTAGCTTTGCCCTCTTCAACAATACAACATCTCATGGCATACAGCCACAAGAAGTATGGTGATTATTTGTGTTGGCTCTAATAGTCTTTCCAGCCAGTAATGGGAGCCACCATCCAATTTTAAAACTCCACAGATCTGGGTGTTATTATCCTTGGGGAAAACTGCCATGGGCCATGCTTTAAAGTTCCTCATTAACCAAAAGAACAACTTTACTGTTTGCTTACATTTGCAAGCAAACAAGCTGGGTTTTGCACAAAGAGAGTGAACCACATTACCTTAGTGCTTCTCTCTGATGGTTTTGCTTTCCTTAGCCTGCAGAAGGGCCCAGGAGCTGAACAACCACAGAAACAAGCCTGTGTAGGAGGAACTGGTAGAGGAAGGGGGGTTAACATGAAGGATGTCTGCAAGGTTAAAGGAGCTGCCAAATGCTGAAGATGAGGGCTTGAAACAAAACAACATCCCAGAAATCTACCTTTCAAACCTGAAATTGTGGCACATCCAGCTTTTTCACATTGTTAATTGTCTCTGTGACACCTCCACACAGAGCTGTGTTAGACCAGCTCACATACACTGCAGCGTGTACAGAAGTTTTAAGGAGACACGTGCTGTATACAGATTTTGCTCAACTACTTTTTCAAACACTGTTTCCATTCTTTCAAGAAGCAAAAGGTCATTCTCTTTTTTTTTTCCATGTTTTTTTTTTTAAATTTGGAAGCAAGATCAAACTGAAAAAGAAGGGACTTGGTCTTTGAACTGTTCTATTTTTACCATTTTTGGCTGCAGATAGTTGAACTTGATCCCATTACAAGAAATCTCCTCCCATTCACTATTACACAATTTCCAGTACATGCACTTCAGGATGTTCACTACTTTCCCTGTCTGGGCCTCATACATCTGGGTGACCTTCCCTCCCATGCAGACAAGAGAGGAAGAATGCAACACAGGTGACACAGACTTCAGACAGCATCAGGAATTATAATCAGAAGGCAGGGAACGGATACCAAATTCCTGACAGTGCTAACATCCAAGCACCTGCTGCTCAGGTCAACCAAGCCTCTTGTAATCAGAGTCTAATCAGAATTTGGCATTAGTCCTTCTTACCTTTTTTACAGACTTCCCATCTTTCCAGGTAAGGGGCAGCAAAGGGCAGTGGCTCCCCGAAGCAGCACATTTAGTGGTTTAGTGTGGAAGTGTTTGGAACAACATCCCCACCTGCCGGGCCTTCTCTTTGTTGCAGCCGGCAATTTAGCAGTAGTCTGATAGGAAAAGACCTTCCCTTCAACCCAGCACCACAACTCTGGCTCAGATTTTAACTTGGTGCCGAGACTGACGTTGGGTTAAAACCCCTTCTGGATACAGGGGCTGGCAGCGCCCAGGAGCGGTGCCCTCCTAGCGTGGCTGAACCTCAATGGGAGGCTCAGGGATAAGCATGCAAAGGACAACTTTCTCCATGTGAGAGCTCTTCCTTGGAGACTGGGAGTAGGCAAAACAGGGGAGTCATCTCCATTCCAACCTACACTTTTTGAAGGCCTGAGTGTGTCAGAAAGAAGATTAAATACATGTGTCAACATGAATCAGGCCATTTACACAACTGAATCATCCTGAAGAGAGGGATGCCTGGATCAGAACAGATCCGTCTTCATCAAATGTAGCCTGTCATAATAATCACTATTAAAAAGGCAAAGAGAGGTGGTGTCTACAACAATTATTTAATCAAACAACATATAAAAACATTTTACAATGACTGAAAAACCTGACAGAGGCTGTAATAAGAACAGAAGCTGCAAGGCTACTCAGGTTTAACATCCTTCCCTTTGTGGGTACCTACTGTGGGTCCAAAACACTTCTCTATTCAGATGCAATACTTTAAATGGTCCTTGCTAATAACACAAGTAGCAGAAGCCTTACATCCTGAAGAAGGCAACAAGACTTATATTTGGCTTGGTCTACCCTTCTGTATTAAGAATGCAAGGCATGGTGGCTGGAGGGAGATAATTATAAAGACAACGTATCTCGGAGCCAAGAGAACCTCCATAGCTCTAGCTGGCCAGTGTCAAGTTCTGCACAGATGCAGAGCTGCTCTGCAAGCCTAACATTAAAGCACTTGCTGACAGAGGCACATCTCTGATGTCTCATCTCAAACACACAGAGGAAATGGCCAGTCCAGCGTGCCAAGCACTCAGCTACAGAAAGACTGGAGCTGTGAGAATCCCTGTCATGTTGTTTATGGTATCCCAAAGTATTCCCTCTCAAATTTACGGAAGTCTTCCTCAGTAAAGACAGTGCCCTCAGGCTTCTTCTTTGCTGCCTTCTTTGGAGGCTGATCTTTGGCCTTCCTGCCTCTGTTCTGAGCAAGAACCTTCAGATGATAAAAAAAAAAGAAAAAAAAAAAAGGAAAAATCCCAGTCATTGTTATCCAGACCAAACCACAAAAATGGTGATTTTCAAGCTCACTGCTGCATCCTGGCTGTTCCACTAATCCCCTGCTATATCCCAGAATGCCTCCAAAGTGAGAGGCAATCACCAATGTCAACTAAAGCAGGTCACTGGGACAACAGCAAATACCAATTTAGTAATTGGAGTCAAATATGAAAACTGCTCTTTGGTAATCATCACAGAGATAGAAACACTTATTTAAATTCAGACCTTTCTGAAACTATGACTTTCTTTTATCCTGTCTCTCCAGGATAAACCTCAGTTGATGGAATTCCCTCTACATTTTCTAATACACTGTCACCTCCTTTCACAATTTCCAGCCTGAGAAACACTGGCTTAAACCACTTGGTTTATATAAGTTAACAGCCTGCATCTCATAAAAATAGCGCAAGATTCTAGTAGTGTCAGCTATTCTCCTTTTCAAATCCTGTCATGGGACTTCCTTTTGTGGAAGAACACAGGTTAAATTCTCAGGTTATGAGAAACATCGTTCAAGATGCTAAGAAATTCCCATTACATGAGCCAGCAGCACATCTGGTTCCTTGCAAAACAGCCTCCAGCTACAGAGGACAGTTTGATCAACAGCAAGAAGGCCTGAACTAGGGCTTCTTTGACAGCTGAAGCTATGACATATCTTTGGTAATTAAGAAAAGCCAACGGCTGTCAGTACATTTTAACTAGTATAAGAGAACATCATAGGGGACAATGTATCAACGAGATGATAAGCATGTCACTTTGTTTTAGTATGTTACTTTGTCACTGCACACAGAAATTCCTCAAGGCTGCTTGCTGACCGAAACTTATCTTCTTTGCACGGGGTCTAAGCTGGAAGATCCGGGAATGACCCCCATTCACCTGTGTTCCTCAACAGAAGCAAGACCCCCAAACAGAAGTGACCATCTTACTTTTTCCGTGACTGCTCTGTTTGCAACAAGTCGTCCTTTCAACATGTACTGCAGATTTTCTCTCAAGTGATTGACAGCCTTCTTCTTATGATACTCCTCTAGGTCAAAGCAGAATGGGACACAACACATCAGCTGTGCATCCAGGCAGCATGCAAGGGCAGACACAGGAGGAGAGCAAGGCCCCGGGAGAAAGAAGCAGCACTACAGCTCAGGGACAAGTGTGCATCCATAGATATGGCTGTGATGAAGTAAGGAACACCAGGAGGATGGGATGGGTACAAACGGCTGAGGCTGGCTGCGGGACACCGTAAGAGGGCGCGGTGCGAGGGCGGTGGAGAGCGGCAAAGCCGCTTCTCCCTCCTCCCAGAGCCGAGCCGGGACTCACCTATTGCCGACTTCACGACTCTGCCCTTGACTGTAGCCCCGTTCCTGCCGGGCTCCGGCGCCCTCTTCCTCCGCCCGGCAGCACCCGCCGCCTTGAGGCCATTCCTCCCGCGCTGGAGCCCCGGCGGCGGCGCCTTTCCCCGGCCTGAAGCGGGCAGGGGGATGGAGTTACCCCAGCCGTACACCGAGAATCACCCTCCCCACACCCCCGCTCCTCACCACCTCACCCGGCACCTCCAGCAGCTCCAGGCCCCGCCGCAACAGGGAGGCCGACATGACCGGCGGTCAGCTTCCGGCTCGTCACCTCCGCCACTTCCGTCTCCCCGGCGGCACGCTTCCGGCACCGTGCCCGGACGGGCGCACATGCGCGGGGGGGAGCTCCGGCAGGCCTTGGGAGGGGAGGTTTGTGGCGCCATGTTGTACGGACATCACCTCACCTCACCTCACCTCAGGCACGTCCTCAGCTCGCGTCGCGTACAGCGGTTGCGGCAGGTTCTTGCTGGTGGTCCTTTGTTACCGTTCCTCTGCACTGTGTGTTCCGCAGGTCCCCTCTGTTGGGGCCACTGCAACAGTGCCACGCCTCTAAGGGGTCCTTGCCGTCACAGGTATAAGAACAGTAACAACAGGCCAGGAGGAAAGCAGTGGTGTCGTGTTTTGTCTTGGTGAGGCCGCAAGAAAAGCCTCCGAGCTAGGCTCCTCTCAGGCATAGAAGTTCCCTCTGCCATAAATTGCATCTATTATTCAGTATTACTTTGTTTATTTAAAGCTCTCTTTCCTCATTTTTGCCCTAGAGACTTGATGCTAGTATCTGCTAAATTTAGCTATCATCTGAATAAAGCTTACTCAGTTACAGCCAGTGCAGGCAATAATAAGCTAATACTGAAGGAGAGAGGTTCATTCTCCCTCAGGCACATCCTGCAGGAGAAGGTGGTACAAGGGGCTCTTACTGTTTCTCATAGTAATAATCTCCTAACAGGCAAGTTATAATATATAATAACAGTTAAACCTCGGTTCATTAAAAGGCATTCATTCTCTGAAAATTGTTCTCCAGCCTCCACAGATGTCACCTCAGTGCGTGTCCTTTTGCTGTTCATTCTCTTCTGAATCCCTCCCTGTCCCAGCATCCAGTGTCAGAAGCTCTTGGTGTGATGGTGCTAATACATTCTTTTGGGCAGGACTTACTGGGTGCTTATCCCCAGCTTCAGGGCGGGGGAGCATTAACCCTTTACTGCTTGTTCAGCATGTCACTCTTTAATTTTCTTTTTACAGTAATCTGAACTTTTTTTTTAAAATTGATCTGAGGGGACAGTCACTGGGTGTGTAGCACAGGGCACTTACCCATTTTCTCGTTTTCTCTTAGTAGCTACTGGAGGGTAGAGCTTGCTCAGCTCCTAGTTCCCTGCCAGGTTTGTTGCTGGGGTTGTGTGAAAGGTCACAAAGTCACGAGGAGGTTGCTGTAGCTCTGCAAAGGAGAAGCTGAACATGCAGTGAGTTAATAGCCTATTGCTGAAATTGGAAAGAGCACTGGAGAGCATTCCAGTCAGCAGAAAATTTGTTACTACTTGTGTACTCAGATAATCTTTATTGTGGTCAGAGTGAGATAAATGATAGCTGCCAGTGAATTTACCATGGGGAAAGCATTTCCAGAAATGTCTCATCAGTCAAACACTCACTTTTAGCCCCTAAAACACTTTTTACAGGCTCTTTGTAAGCTATTCATGGTTACATATTACATAGTATATACAAGATAGCTTCTTCTGATGGCGAATTTGCATAATTTATTAGTATCACCTAATACATTGTTACACATGCCTAGTATTAGAATGGTGTAACCTCATAAATACATTATGAAGGCACTTGGTGCAAACCCATCTTTGTTACTAACACTGCAAAACATGTTTAACAAATAAATGTGGTGGAAGCTGCATTGATTTATTATCCCGTAGATGGAAAATACATGTCCTTTTCTACCTCAAAAGCAAACCATTACCAATGCTATCCTAATTCTGTTTCCGTTGCACCGGTTAATAAAGCCCTCAATTATGCAAGTGTCTCAGAAACTCTGACTCCCTTCTTATTAAATACCTTCAGTAGCAAGAAACTGTAATCCAGGCAATGCCTCCTTTACACAGCAAGGTTGAGTGCAGACTTGCTATTATTTTAGCTAGCAGTTATCTGCAGAATAAAATTTAATGAGCACACAGGGGTCACTTTGCTGAGCAGGGAAGGCAAGGCACTTGCTTTAACTGCAGTCACAGTCTCCTGCCTCAGAGTCTGCTCAGGTTCTTGGAGTTACTTAGTGCACCAAAAAGTTAAATGGATGGGCATTTCATGCTGAGTCACATTCCCAGGTTTGGATCTGTTGCCAAAGATCACAGTCCAACATGGGCCATGGATTTTTTATTTGTTTCCTATTGTTAACACATTATATTTTTTCAGCTCCTTTTAACAGGATTTGTCAGTATTTCTCAGGGCATGATCATTAACGTTTCTCCTGGCTGTGTTCTGGCTTCAGCTGTGTTTGGTCTTGCCAGACACGGTGATGACAGCATCTGTCATGTCTCTGTGCGGGTGACTTTGGTACAACTAATACCTGTCACACTCCTACAGACAGGGGTGCAGAGTCTTTCCTCGCTCTTTGGCTTTAATAGAGAATTGTGCTTACATCTTCTTCCTGCATTGCTAAACACAATCAGTTTATTGACTTGCATTAGAAATGTACCATCATCTCTTAATATATACTGGATTTTACCTGTGTATTGTATGTTACCTTAAATCTGTATGTACAGATTGCATGTTACATACAATATTTTTACAATGTAATAATGTTACAATATAATTGTATGTACAGTTTAGGCATTTGGATCACATTATATCTTCTGCATGTCATAAACTGTAAAATATTCTCTCCTGATCTCAACTGCCTGTCTCTGATATCTTTGATAAATCTGCTTTATGCTGAGCAGAGCATATAAAATACTGTATTTCTCTTTGCAGGATCTTCCATGGCTTTATTATTCTCACAGTGATGATATGATTCTTACTTCATCATGATATATACATGTAATTGTCACTTTCTTTTACCTGAATTACAGTTGAAAGCGATTGAGCAGACCCTACAAATAGCTTTTCCAGACTAGTATGTACTATTAAAAATTTGATGTTGGGAGACTTCGTGTCTATGTCATTAAAAAAAATAAATCAGTATTACATTGTATTGTTTTTAAGGCCTCTGCTCGAATTAAATTTTCATCCAAGGAATCTTCATCATTTTGTAATCTCTCAAAAATCAGTGCAGTTAACTCCTTGAAGCACTTTGGGGACAGAAGGGATGTCAAATAGTGTTCATTTAAATGTATAACATCTAAATAAATTGCTGTCTTAGAGCCTGAATAATCTAACTTTGGATGGCAAACCCCACAGGTGCTGCATTTCAGATTGAGAGTGTCTTTCTGAGAGTGAAGCTATCTTTGAAAGCTTTTTGCTGCGAATGTGCATGTTTTATAGCTTTCTTTAAATCTCATGCCTCAGTGGGTACCCCTGAGCTAGCTGGCTTTTCAGTTACAAATAACACAGCATACAGATCAGTTTTAAGTTCTAAGTAACTTCCATATATGAACATTATCAATTGACTTTCTGCTTGCTTTCTTATGGCATTGAAAAATGGGATTTTTCACTGTTTGAATATGTTGATAGCTGGTTCATCTTGGAGTGACTATTCTTCTCATTATTATTCTAGGCTTTGGAAGATTTCTGAGATTATTGGACATTTGGCTTGTTCCACTGCATAATTCTATACTACATGTTAACAGAGACATTACTGATATTCATTTGCTGTCTCTGGCAGTTCGTAATAGCTGTTTGCTCTTAATTTATGTTACAGCTTCTGGATTCAGGGGGTTACGTGGGAGTCTCCGTCTGAAGGAATATTGTGAAGAATGTTAGAAAACAGAAGCTGAGGGCAGCATTAGAAGTAAAATACAACAATCACAAGCATTTATTTAGCTTAGGGCTTTTTTAAAAAACAAGTCATGATTTTGGGAAATACAATCCTGATGTTCGAACACTTGGTGTTGTCTACGCTGACATGTATATCTGTATTTTGTCTTCCAAAATGAACCAGACTGTTTTATAACAAACGGATTTTCACCTCTGCATGTTCCTTCACATGTGGATTATGGAATGTGCTTTGCTTTAGACAGCTAGTTTGTCTAGTTTCACCATATCCCATATTCAGTGTTTTCTCTTGAACGGCTGTATTCTAAGTTGCTGTCATGAATATTTAGCTGTGTTTGCCAACTTGAAGCAAGTTGCGCTGTGGTCAGTGTTCCAACAAAGAACCATGGATCACTGTCTGTCCTGTACCACAAGTACATAGGAACCTTTGTCCTTTAACTGCGTGACATACCTTTGAAAACAATTTGGTTTTCTGGCCTACTGAATTTGAACAAAGGCTGGACAATGCTTTGATTCATACACTTGCAGGGGTGAGTGTCTAGTTACTTTATACTGACAGAAAGTCTTTTATTCTGATCTTTTTTTCAATCCAGTGCAGATACCTTACCTGTACGAGGTCACCGAAAAGCTGGCTCTGCCTTGCACAGCTTCTGCAGATAATGTTGACACAGGTGAAGATTAAATCAGCTTCCCACTATAGTAGGTTCTATAGTAAGAAATGAACTTTGCCCCTGAACCAGACGAGTTATCATCTTCCTATACAGATGAGATAAGGAGGTACAAAGATTAAGCAACTTGCAGGGTGTGGAGGCTTAGGCCAAAACACATCTTTGTTCTCCACCTGCTGGAGAACAAAGGTGGCTCCAATGGGAAGAGAGCAAGCTTTGCTGAAGAGCCTACTTTGTAGAAGGAGGTAATATTTTTAAGAGCATAAATATTATATGTGGAAAAAACCCAAACAAGTCCTTCTTCAGGGCATAGAATACCAGAAGAAAGCACTTTGCTAGTAATACTTTGCGTATAGTACAGAGTTGATGTCACAAGGTTTTTGTGGTCAGAAGTAATGTGAGTTTGCATCCAGACTCACAAAAATGCCTGAACTTCCAGTGCCTTCATACTTTCCATCTTTGTCTGAAGGGAAAATAATCTCTTCAGAAGGGCATCTGCTGTTCTTGCATGCCTCCTAGAGTGGATCAGGCAAACAGGTCTGCAGCTGCTTGGGAACAATTTCTTTATTTCCCACGACTATCCTAAATGTTAGGACAGGGAGGAAGTAGTAGGATTCCAGGGCTCAGAGTGACTATTTTCCTCCTGTCCCTTCTGCGGGCTATGGACATGGTTTCTGGGTCTTCCTCTGCCCCTCCCCACCTACTTCATTCCTGCAGTACTGGCTCTGGGAGAAGGTGGCAGACCTTACTGCCACTGTTTCCTCCTGTCTAGAAGGCCAAAACCTATCCTATTATAGTTGTTTTTCCTTTTCCCCAAAACCTGAAAAAAAGAGGAAAAAGATCCTTAGGTGGAGCAGGGATAGCTTGAGTGAACAAAATGTAGGGGAGCTGTGGACCAGGAACCACTAAGTGCTGGAGAACAGGTGTTAAGAGTTGGTGGACACAGGAAGGAGGCAAAGGCAAGACTGATGTAGGGATTGGAGTGAGTGCAAGTGTGCTTTATAGATTGTCAGGCTGAATGAAATGCATTGTAGGAAGGTGAGTAAAGCATGGACAACACCTACTGCCATATGTACACATGGAGTTATTGAAAAACTTAAGAGCTTTGGGCCCATATCTTGCTTTTTGGGGATCTGCCTTGTTAATTTTTGTGGTTTTGTTTTACTGTCACTGCTGAATCAGCACAGCTTCCAGGAGTTACGAGCAGTTTAACGGAAGCCTTTGAAGAATCTTCCAGGGCATCTTTCCTTATTACTTTGGAAGCTGAGTTAGTGATGGACTTGATGAGCTTTAAGACCTCAGTTATCAGGATCTGAGCGTCCAAGCTTACCATGAGCTTTGTTTTCCTTTCCAATCAGCTTCATGCAGCTGGACTGTTAACCTGTTGATGTTACTTCCCCCTGCACCTGGGTTTCAACCTGTCTTTCTCCTTTTGTGGTTCTAGAATTGGTCTTTCCTCCTTTTCAGCTGAAGATTGGCCTACCTGCCTTAACATTTGACTTTCTTCTTTTGTTTCACCACTGGCTTTCAACTTATTCTTTATTCCTCTGTTGCGTTGATTTGCTCTTTGTAGCTTTCTTTTGTGTTTTACTCAGAACTATAGATATTCTATGGCAGAATCTGAGAAATTCACCCCTAAAAATATTCCCCTGCTGACTGCACAGAAAATGGACAGAAATTCAAAGAGGGATTTTGAGACAAGGTGCAGAGTATAACATTCTTTAACTAGAGGGACTTGTAAAAAGGCAGTGATCGTTCTCAGTTCTAGAAATATTGTGGTCTTTGGTGAAATAAAGTCTCATTTTTTTCCAGGGAGGACGTTCTTTTTCCTGTTTAAATGGAAATAATTATTCTCATGTAAAGAGCTTGGAAATACACAAAGAAGAGGCTGTGTTAGAGCTGAGAGCTTAAGTATCCTCATGCTCTGCAGATGTGATATTGGCGAATGTCAATGGTTGTTGAACACGGCTGCTTTCAAAGCAGTGACAAAGAGGTGGAGGCTCTGTGTTTTGTTCCCAGCCTATCTGCTCCAGGGTCTGAAAATGTTTACAAGCCCCAGAGCTGGCTCAGAATGCAACAAAGTTTAGCTAGTTATGCTTGTCACCAACCGTTAATGGTTTGGAAACAGACAGGAAATTGGCTGGGGCTGTCACAGGCTTTTGCTGCCTTAGGCAGGCCTTGTTAGGGGATGTCTCTGCTGCTTGATGCAGAGCAGAGCTGGTGGAGCTGGGGGAAGCATTGCCTGCTGCTGCAGCTCCTGCCTGCTTCTTCTCATGCAGGCACTGCTCTCATGTTCCCATAGCTAAAGGTGTGTCATGTCCCCTCCTGTTCCCCAGTCCCTTCAGGTTTGGGAGGGAGCCATTTGGAGACAGTAGGGCAAACAGGGGGAGGCAGAGAAGGGATAGGATCATGAAGGTGTTGCAGGGCAGGGGATGAATGGGCCACCAGCATGCATTGGAAAGGAGTGGGTCAGATCAGCTTGTTTCTGATGTGGGACTTGAGAGCAAGGCAGCACTGTGGATTTAGCTGCAAGTGCCAGGGGGCTGGATGGTTATTGCCACAATGCACACTTTGTGGATTCATAATTTGTGGGATTTTCTTTCTTTTCAGAATTGCTGAGAACCACACAGAATAGTCTGTGAGGCTTCCTACACCAAGGATATGTTCTGTCCTGCGGCTGGCATGCTGCATTTGCCAGCATGGTGCCAGACCTCTCTCGTTGAACTCTGCTTTTGTAATTTTTTCCCCTTGCTTGTTTTCTTTTCCTTCTTTTGCTTTCTCTAATAGCTGTATTTTGTCTTTCCTTGTCTTATTCCCTGCTTCCTTGACTGCTGCCTCTCTTTGTAGCCCTTGCTTCTCCAACCAGGATCAGCAATTTCTGGGGCTGTGGGAGGGTGACAGTTCAACCTGACATTTTACTGTTTATTCTTGACTCCCAGCAGCTGAGTCCATCTAAATTATACATCTGCCTCTCTCTTCCTTTCTTTCCTTTCCCATCCAGCTCTCTTCAGCACAGTACAGAAAACACTCTTCTAGAAAACACTGAAAATCCACTGGCATGTGCTTGGGGACCCCTAGTCTCTTGGGTGCAGGGGCAGCCCTGGAGGTGCTGGATACCAGTCACCTATATACTTACCACGAGTCCCCCGGGGCCAGGCTGCTTTGTCCTCCAGGGCCACATCTCCTGCTATGCCTCTGTCTTCTGAAGTCCAGGGAAGAAATGTCAGCGTGAGAGCAGCCCAGGCTGCCATTTCTAGCGAGAATGTGTGGTGCCACAAGGGCTCTCCTCACTAGATGTCACTGTGAGGCTGGGTTTTGCCTGCCATAAGCAGAGCAGCCAGGAGGGATGGATGCTGAGATGAGTGCTGAGCAGGAGCAGGAAGGAGGGTGTGGAAGAGGTTAGCAGGACATCTGTTGAGTTGCTGTAGGCAACTTGAGCCTGGGCAAGTTTTGGGCACAGAACCAGCAAGGTGCAGAAGGGTTTTGGGGTGCAATTTCATACCACAACCTTTGAACACCCAAGCCAGTATCTGGTAGTCATCAAGGCCTTAGTATGAATGAGTCACCGTGACTTTTGTCTAAGTAGTGCTTACCTCCTGCTGATCGTGATACCGGTTTGGCAGCAAGCCCCTTGCTAATGCTTACTCCTGGCTCACTGTTCACTGTCCCCATCTGCCATCACCCATCTGTAGCCCTAGCTGCAGCACACCTCCATCCGGTGAGTGGCCCTGTTACTGCCTTGCTGGCAGGGCTGTGGTGGAGAGGACTTTTGGTAGAGAGAGGCACCATGGTGGCCCCCAAAGTCGAGGTGAGAGCTGTGGTGGGTGGTGTAGGGAGGCCTGGCAGAGGCTGGCCTTTCACCAAAGAAGCCAAGTGACAAGCTGGCCATGTGGTCCCTGGTACTGAAGATGTGGGGCAGAGTGGGAGCTGGCAGACTCAAGCACCCATGGGGAGTCTGGCTCACATGAGACCTCTCTATGCAGTGAGCAAGACCTCCTGTCCCACAGTTGGCAAGCACGTTGCTGAACATAGTGGCAAATGCTTTTATAATTTCTTTAACTTCCTTAATTTTTTTGGGGCTTTCCTTCTTTCACTTTTTCTTTCCTTTCTTCACCCCTCTATTTTGATAGCTGTCTTTTGACTTGTGTTGCCTGTTTCCCCCTCTCCTTGTCTTCTCTTTCTCCTTCTAGCCCTTGCTTCTCCAACCAGGGTCAGCAGTTTCTGGAAGGATGACAGTTCAACCTGACCTTTTATCTCTTGGTCTTGACTCCTAGTACTTGAGTCCCTCTAAATTGTAAGACCAGCTCTTCTTTCTTCTCTTCCTCCCTTACTCCAGTGTTTGTTCCTACAGCTTCATATTGTGAACTGGACCCTGCTATCCTGTCTCCATACTCTGAGGGGTCCCTACGGTGCAGAACCTGCAAGCTGTATTCTAAGGGAGAGGAACTAATTAATGCCCCATGAATCACCAACATCTGTGGTATAGACGATCTTTAGGAGAGTTATGTGGTTTTATTTTTAAGATAACCAACTGCAAGCCAGAAACAAGGGAATAAGGGTTATGTGGAAAGCCGTCCATACTGGGAAAGTGTTTTGGTTTGGTCGTGCATAGGTATAACAGCCTCCTGTCTTATTGGGTGCACCCTGATTTACATTGATGTAAGAGCACACTCCATATAGGTGTTAGCATCCATATGAGTTTCTATCTGGGTGTACTTAACATGGATAGAAATGGTGCCGTGGGCTGTACAGTGTGTGAGCTCCTCAGCATGGATCTGTGCTGGTTTGGTACAGCTGAATCACTGCACGGGATTAGGACAGCTCTGTGTATTTGTGTGCAACCTAGGTATGTGCATTTACACATGCATGTGCATTAGTGCTGAAGAGGTTGTGAAACAGATTGAATGTGAACCCCCAGGATGTGCAGCCTTTGGGGCTGGCCAAAGTAGTGGGGAGCCCCAGAGAGAATGCTGGGCTTGCCTTGCTGTGCTCTTCCAGCTGCA